AAAACCCAAACATATTTTCCATATACATTTAGGTGTTCATGGAAATAAATTACTGATAATTCGTAGGTAAAAAGCCTTTTTAAAAATTGCCTATTTTTAAGTCTTCTTTATGTTTTTACTACGATAATTACACTGTCCTAAACAGCTTATTGTGATTTTATATTCTGTGTTGTGTTTCTTGGATTTCGAATGATTATATTTGAAAAGTATTACTTTTGGAATTGAAGTGATTAAATTCTAATTATCAGCACCTAATGATACAAAATATCCAATAATGCTTTTTGTTTCATTCAATTTTATTTTACTTATGAATAATTTAAGGCACATGTTTTGATATTCTTAGATTCCCCCTTTCACACTGATTTGTGATAGAGTTAACATCTTCATTATTTTTATTTCATTACTAGCTTATATTGGTATTCTAGCATGAATTTTTACTTTATTTTAAGAATTAAGGAGAAGGCTGAATGAGAAAAGCTTAAGAACATGGAAATTTATAAAATAATAAAAGCATTCTTAGGAAGACTTCTCAGCAGACATGAATATTATCTGCTACTGCGTCTATAGGTTTAGCATATAAGTTCTGTATGCCTCTCATTTTTTAGACTGTTATTTTCAACACAAATGAATATTTTTTAATGATCATTTATGTTTTTTAGATAAACTAAGTTCTAATGCATGATATTAGAATTAATTGATGGTGTTATGGAATGGATTATGTCACCCCAAAAATTGTATTATCAATCCTAACCTTTTTTCCTGTGGTTATAATCCCATTTGGGAATGAGCTGTCTTTGTTTTGCTAATGACTCAGGATTGGTATAGTGGACACTTGAGTCACTCTGTTATGAAATATAAAAGTTTAAATCAGTAGCAGAAAGAGAGCTGGACTGAGATAGATGTCAAGATACATAAAATTATCCCAGGATTCAAGAAATAAAACTGAAGAAACAAAAACTCCTCTAAAGCTGTCAGGGAGAGACTCTGAATTCTTCTGGATTCTGACTTCTAACTTTTCCAAACTGTGAGAAAACACAAGTGTTAATAATTATTCATGATATCATATTAAAATAAATATATTAATTATTGTTAATTGTTAAAATAACCACTTGTGGTATTTCTGCTATGGCAGCACTAGATAACTAAGACAGACATGAGGTAAATAAAATATTTCATGCAAACAATATTTACTTTTTATGTAGGGTATCTCTAAAAGCAAAATTTAACTTTTACAAGATCTACAGTATATGAATGCCCCGTGGATATCCAGTCAGTCTGTTTCCCCTATTCATGATTACTCTCCACTTCCTGGCAGAAACTCTGACATGCATCTTTTGAAAGGTATGGAATGATCTGTCTAATGGCTTAACCAATATAATTGCCCAGTTGTTGCTTTTTAATGAAATAATCAGTTAGGTCATTTGAAAGTCCTCATGAGCACAAATCATTGCATGGTGCACACATAACACTGGCTGAAAGGAAGCTTGCTTAAAACCATCTGGCCTACTCATGGCAGACTCTGCACCAGCTGTCACCAATCCCCCCTGCCACCCCCATGGCAAACCATCCCGTTTGCTACCTGCTGCCCTTGCTTCAATTCTGCCTCATAAGGCCTCTATTGAGGGTTCCCAGAAGTAGAAAAGCTTGGAGCAGAAAGCTCGGAGCAACTGGTAGGTTCCAACTGCTGACCTTGCGTTAGCAGCTTAGCCTGTAACCTGCTAGGCCACAGTGGCAACATCAGACACTGTCCTGTGACCTGGGGACAGAGTGTCTCTGA